AAAAAAAAAAAAAAAAGGGAAATTAAAGGCAAAACAACAAGAGAATCTCCTATGGTAAATGACGGCTCAAAGGCACAATTCTGATGTCACCAGGGTGGCAGCTGTGTTTGCCTGCTGGGGACAGGGGCTTTTCTTTGGGGGTGGGGTTGGTCTGGTGAGCAGTGATTTACACTCAGCACTCACCCATCACCTCTGCTCCCTCAGCTCCTGTTTCCTGGGATGTTTCAGCCCCTCTGCCTGTGCCCAGGCAGCTCCAGGACACAGCAAACATCCCCAGTGCCTTCACTGACCCCAGAACCTGCACTGACCCCTCATCCTCACCCATCCTCATCCTCACCTCCCTCCCAGCCCCACAAGCTTTTCCCTGCCTGTCCTTTTTTCTGTCCCCGTGTTCCCCCTGCCCAGAGGCCACCGGGGTCCCCAAGCAGGGGAGCAGATGGGGCCATAAATCCCCTTTGTGGGGCCGTGTCCCTGAGCAGAGCCTGCAGTGACAGAGCTGGTGAGGGGAGGGCAGAGGGGCTGGGGGTGGGTTCTGCCCTTTTTGCTCTTTGGAGCCCCATAAGATTGATGGCCAGGAGTGGGGACAGTGGCCAGCACTGCCCTCCCTGTGGCCACCAGGCTGTCACAGCCCCCAGAGGGTGACCAGCAGGGCAGGCTGATAAACCTGATAAACCCCGAGCCAGAACAAACCCCTGGAACAGCCCCAGCCTTGCTCCAGCCCGAGCCTTTCCCCTTCCCTCAGCTCCATCTGGGATCTGCCCATGGGAATGAGGGGAAAGCCCCGAGTTTGGTCATTTCTCTGTGGGATCACAGATGCTGGGCCCTCACCCCTCCTGCAGCACATTGGGAATTTTCCTGGGAAACCTTTCCAAGCGTTGAAGCTGCTGCAGTGATTGATGCCCCGGCAGGAGTGACATTCAGGACACATTTGTCAGCTATGGAGGAGACCTTACAATAATTAATAGGGTTTGGGTTTAATTAGACAGAAAGTCTGAGCCAAACTGTCTGATGGAAGCTTCTCCAAGGCCTGGGATGTTTCCAGCATGGATCAGAGGGTCTGGATGCTCAGTGCTGCCCTTTGGCCAGAGGAGCCCCACGCCACCAAATCCCCCTTGGCCAGCAGAGACCTCCCTGCCCACTCACACAGCCCCTTCCTTGCCCTCAGGGTAGAGAAGCCTTGGCACATCGCTGCCCCAAGCAGGGATTTCCCTGGCTGTCCTGGAGCAGGGAGCTCTGGCATTCCTCCCTCCAGACCCCAGCAGTGCCCACCAGCCAGAACACCCGAGAGCCTGACCCCCAGGGAAGTGCCTGGCAGCTCGGTGGGAATAATTGGAATTCTGTAACACAGAGCCATCAGGATGGCTCCTACCACCTCTTCTTGGTCTTTTTTTGTTTAATATTTTGACTCCAACGACAATAAGAGCAAGCTGTAAATCACCACTGAGGAGCCTGGAGTTGGCTCTGAGGTTTCTCCAGAGGTTACTGCCCCACAGGGATGACAAATAACAAGCTTTTCCTAAAACACAACCTGAACCCTTTGGGTTTTGGACCAAAATCCACTTTCCTGGCTCGCCCTGTCCCTGCTCTGTGCTGGCAGCCACCAGCAGGACCCGTGCCAGGAGCTGTGTCCCCCCTTCCCCAGAGCTGCTCATTCCCAGGGATGGCAGCTCACAGGCTCGGCAGCGTTCTGAGAAAGAGTTAAGAGGGCAAAACACAGCATTGTGATTATTGCTTCCTCCAGGCCTGGGACAAGGAAGAGGAGGGGAAGAACAGAGCCCAGCCACGAAAAGGCATTTCCCTGATAACAAACACCATCACAGGAATTAGGCACAAAAATTTGTTCAGAGCCCAGATATTTGTTTATACAACACACAGTGTGCAAAGCTCTCCCCTCCACCTCCCTCCTGTGCACACACATCCCAACAGGTCCAGAGGAACAGAAAATCCAGGCAGGGCCCTGCCCTGAGCCCCACATTTGGAGCTGCAGTTTGGAGGACAAGGACACAGCACATCTGGTGCCACCCCTGGCGTTGTCCCACGTTTGCAGGACAGGCCTGGACAAGTTGTGCTCCTCAGTCCCCATCCCCAGGGGCATCCAGAGCAGCACCACAGCTGTGGCTGTCACCCAGCTGTGCCTTACAGCTGGAGTCATTTAACCCAGCAACCCCACAGGGCTTCCAGGAAAATCCATAAGGGAGCCCGGACACCTCGGAGCAGGAATTGGACACCTTGTCCTTCCTTGTGCTGACACTTGACACCTGCACCCTGAGAAACCACAGCTGGCAGCCACTGAGCCTGAGAGCACTGCTGTGAAACTGCTCATAAATCACCTTCCTGGAGAGGGGAGCTTTCATTCCC